CTAGTAAAACTAGAACACACCTGCTGCACTCCAATACTCCTAAAGCAAATCTAAGAAAAAATGTCTTCATCTTTTCTTCCATCAGCACTGCATTCTAGCCTTAGGTTCTTGCCAAGAACCTTACTAGAATAAAGACAGATCCTACCACACATGCGTATGGTATCAGCTTTATCTCCTTTGATCTAGTGATTCACTCCTTGAATCAACAGAATTCTGCACACTCTCAGCTGATGGAATGTCTCAACATCTGGTTGAACATCAGATCCTTGAAGTAGATCAACCAAATCAGGGGTCTGGCACTTGTGCAACAACTGATGAGACACCTTGATCATCAACTAAGGATAATCAATTAACTACTTGTGAATATCTCAAATAGCAATGAATCTTAAATCCTTCAAAAGGAATCCTTCTTCCAGAAGTCAAGCTTGGATCATCCACCTGATGAGCTAACAGAATCCTAACAATGTTGAGCATTATGGATAACCAATTAAATACTTGTGCATACTACAAATAGAGATTGATCTTAAATCCACACAACTTGTCGAGAAAACCATCTGATAGATTTTTTACACTTTAGTAATACCAAAAGTATTCCTTAGTATAAGTGCCTCTAATGTTGAGACACATTTGACTCAACTTGCCTATGACTTCCTCTTGCTAAAAGAGCCCTTGCAAGTCATGAATGGTGAAAATAAATCGCCTCCCATTGTCTTTTCTAACACAGCTTCCAGCAATTTGTACTCCTCAACATAACAGCCCAGGCACACAACCAAACACAGCTATAAACATCATCTACACAACTACCACATCCACGCATCTAACTGAATATAGGCCAATCTTCTCTCAGGGCTACCAGAGTTCTTTCATCAGAAACATATGCAGCGGAACCACCAAAAGAACATCTTCAACATGCCCTAACCAAGATGTCAAAACATCTTATAGGACATCATACAGAAGTACCCACTCCTTCTTTGGTAACACATTTACCAGGTCATAGAAGCTCCTATATTAGAGGGTACAACAGCAGATACATAGAATCCTTCACAAGCTCCTCATTTGTCAAAATCAGCAAATCAACTGTAGCTTCTCCTTGATTAAACCACCAGAAAGTATCTCCCAAGATCTCATCCAGAACAGACAGGATGCCTGCTCTGATACCAACTTAAATTCTGGTATGCAGATCTCAGATGTCCCAAGAACATTGATCTCTGCTAAAATAGAACAAGATTTGAACATGACCCTTTTAAATCCCTCTAAGAATTACCAATGTCATGACTTCTGTTGTAACATCTGCAGACTGACAGAACTATTTATCTAACCATTTAAATTATGCAGAATTGTAAATGCAGAAAGATAAATAACACAATGAATTGTTAACCCTGTTCGGTGCAACATCACCTACATCTGGGGGCTACCAAGCCAGGAAGGAAATCCACTATTAGTAGAATTAATTCAGAGTTAAACTCCCTCGTTTACAACCCCTCACTTAATCTCAACCCAATATAATTTCTGCCTAGAACACATTAGACAAGAGACACCTCTCACTCCCCCTCAATCCCAGCAGTGATAAACAATTCAATATAGTTACATATAACCTTGAAGACACTCTTCAAGCACAACTTGATCTTGCTTCACAGCTTTGATCAAGTGTCTTAACACTCGTGCTTAAAAGCTTAGAGTGTTACTTTTTGGCACACAGTACAAAACTCACTAGTCCAAGGCAGTCATACAGCAGATGATGTTTGGCTCACAGGTATCCTAAGACATTAATATGTCTACCACAATGCATCGAAAGATACAAAAGGTGACTTACAAAGTCACACACAAGGGACTCTCAAAATACACTTCCTAATCTCTATCAAGTACTCTCTCTTTAGGATTGCTGATCTGATATTTATATGCAGCATACAGTCTTTGGGCCTTAGTGCAGTAATTAGGTTTACCCAAGATAAAATCTCTTTTCATACGGCTGTGCACTTACCATTAGGTCAGGGGTATTTTAAGTTATGCTCAGCAGTGCCTGGAATTTCGCCTGAGATAGCTTAACATTCCTAAAATGTTTCCTGCAGTATAGCCTGAGCTAACTCATGAAACATACCAGAAAATTGAAACACGCGCCCTGATGTCATACGCTTGATGTCATAACATCCAGCATGACATCCAACCTGCTCTGCTCTTAGCTATCCAACCTTACCCTGCATAACACTTCTGCAAAATCTTTTTCATGACAGTAGAAACAAATATTTTATAGTTTCCTAAAAAGTGTCAGAGATCCTTTTTATGAACAACAATTAAGTCTGAACTTTGTTCCTAATAACACTCTTTGACCTGTACATACTGATGAGGAGTATCCAACAGGACCAAAACACTTATGTCAAGAGATATAAAATATCTGCACCTGCTGTATCAGACAGCGATGTCATGACATTCAGTATGACATCCATGACAGTAGTTCTATCTTCATCTCCTGCTGCACCAGACAGCGATGTCATGACATTGGTAATGACATCTTGTTTAAAACATATGACTGCAGTAATGTCATCAGCTTCTGCTAGCTCCTACTGCACTAGACAACGATGTCATGACATTGGTAATGACATCCTTTTTAAAACACATGACAACAGTACTGTCATAACATTAGATGTGGATGTTATGACATCTTGCTTAACATTAGTGCAGAATCATGTTTTACCAAAATTTAGCAATCTTAGAACAATGGACAATCATAGAAACATGGTACTAATAGTTGTGACCCTGGACAGTGTGACATAGATATTCCCATGTGTGAAAACATCTATAGGCAAGTAAAGTCCTACCGAATTCAAAGATTGTCCTTGGGATTTTTTAATCGTCTTTGCATATAACACCACTATTGGAAATTGACGATTGTTTAGTTTGAAAGGCCAAGGGGACTGTGAGGGTGACATATCCATTCTAGGGATGTAAACCAATTTTCCATAACCTTTTTCGGCCATTATTGCAACTTCAAGGACATGATTTTCCATCTTTGTTATGACTAGCCTAGTTCCATTACACAAATATTCGGATTGATTGATGTTTCACATAAGCATAATAGGTGTTCCGACCTTTAACTTAATGTGATGGTTAAGTAAGACATACATTCTTAGTGAACAGAGGAACTCATGTGTGAGGATATCAATAAAGTTAGTGTCATGAATCTTAAACTTATCAACGAAGTTAGAGCTGTAGTAATCACATATGTCCCCTAGACACCAAAAACATTAATATTAGTGAAAAGAACCAAAGATAGTTAATAGTGTAAAAGAAGAGGATGAATATGATAACCTGGCATCAAGGCAAGGACATGATCATTTATTTGATCAACAACTTCTAATGTTGATGTGAGTATTGCTCGACTTTTGAGGTAATCGTTAGATTGATAATTATGAATGAAATCAGGGTATGCACTATTGATAATGGCAACAATAGGGTTGTTAAAGCTTGTTATTAAAAGGCCAGGGGGTATGTCAATGTTGACAAAACTGTCGTTTGGATCTAAAACTTTTCCTTCACAATTTTTAGGAGCCAGTCTGAAAAGTTTGCAATTTTTGTTTTATCTTGTTCACTTGGCCCATAATCCAGCTGCATATTATTGGTTAAAGTTAAAACTTGCACTAAGTTCCATATATAAGAAGCATTTATCATAGAGTGGACGATATCATAACGACTTCCTCTAGGAACAACAGGAAAAATCTAACTAAAATCACCACCGAATACAACTACCTTGCCACCAAACACATCCTCTGAATTACTGTAGGTACTCATTACATCCCTCAACATTCTGTCAAGTGCTTCAAAAGCATGCTTGTGCGCCATGGGCGCCTTATCCCAAATAATTAGTTTTGTCTTCCTTAGAATCTCTACAACATCATCATTGTAGTTTATTATGCAAGTAAAATTTTCCATTGTTAGGACATGTATCTTGAACTTGGAATATGTGGCTCTACCTCCAGGCAATAAAAGAGAAGCTATTCCACTTATTGCAAATGTTAAAGATATATCATGTTTAGACCCCAAAGAATGTACAAGTGTTTTCCACATATATGTCTTATCTGTACCGCCATAAGCATGTAGGAAGAATACACCACCCTTTTGAGTCTGGACAGACGCCATAAAGTTTGTCTAATTCCCTAAAAGTAACAAATTGAGTTTCGCCAATTTTGCAAATTTCCTCATAAGTTGTAGGTTCCTTAACAACTGTCAACATCATTCGCAAGTAAAGTAGTTCGCCAGTGGTTGGTGGAACCCATATCAAACGACCAATGGTGAACCATTTTTTTTGCGGCTTCCACAATCTGTTTCTCTTTTCATAAACAAATTGGGATACAAATCGACCGTATGTCAATGATCGAGCTTCTTCATATTTCCCATTTGCAAGCAGCCAAGAAGTGAACATACATTCAATGACACTTTCCTTTTCTAAGATATTCTCCATTATGTTGAAATATGTGTAGTAAATCACTTTCTCGCCTATTAAATGATAAAACATACATTCCATCGCCGATTTCCTACCATGAATATTGCAAGCGTAAATTCGCCAACATGCTTCACTCGGGGAGATATACCTACAATCTAGATACTGTTTGATCTCATCAATGGGCTCTATGTCATTAGTTATAACTAATTTAGAAGGGACTATCGTTGTTGTGATTTTGTCATAACCTTTGTGTATATATTTGAAAAGATATTTGATATATGTACTTTGGTTACACCATTTCATGTTTATATATGCATGATATTTCAAAAGTAACCTTGTATTATAAGGTACAACACAGAGATTTTCCAATGCAATTCCATTCTTGTGAATAACGTGGGTTTTAGAACTTCTTGTGTAAAGTGGATAGCCATCTGCATCAACAGTTGTATCCTCAATGAACTTCTTGGGGGAATTATTTTGAGCATTTTCTATTTTCCGTACATGGTGATGTCATCCTTGAAAGACCACAGGGTTTATGCATCATATGTACCTTGCTCAAGTTTTATAAAGTAGGATGGACTTTAGAGTCCGAAATCTCAACACAAATGGTGTTATCTATGTCGAAAGGTATTGGGTATTTGCTTTGAGGGTGTAAGAAGATTAAAATGTGAGCATGCCACAACCCTCGCTTTTGAAATTCAATGGTGTAGATAGCTGAAACACAAACGGGGTGTAATTTTTAAAAGTGTATAATCAAAATGTATGAAATATTCATTTATAAGTGAATGAAAAAGACTTACATGCCAATACTTTTCCGAGGACATGATGTTTGGTTATATCTTTCATTAGTTCATCAAATTTGATTTTTAAAACCTTGGTAATGATATAAAGTCTGTCATACGACTTTAATGTAGTGTTCGACAACACACTGGAAATTTTAGGCCAAGCGGGATTGAAAGTAAACATTACAAATAAATCAAGGAACCCCAACTTACTTGAAATTGCCATATCATAAAAATATACTCGGTCCATGTATCTCTTGCTTCCAACAAAGGATGATGGCAAGACAACTCGTTTTTCTCTTTTGGTTGGTTGAGTTTATCGACTAATACCGACACGTTCATTCAATTATTTATATTTTCCAACTCTTAACTTAGATTGCTTCTTCCTCAACCAATTAAGTCATTCAGACTCCATCATTGCTTAACCATCAACCAAAAATTGTTGAAAAGGTCGTATAGAATGCAGTAACATATTGGCTTGTGTTTTGAGTTGTTGCAGTCGGAATGATAGCCAATCCTTAATGGTTTGAAGATTTTTCCTTATGAACAAATGCCCATGTTGATACTTGTGAATAATATTATTTCTATAACCATCTTCACCATAACTAAATATCAGAGGGTATTGATACGCTAGGAATGCAGGATGAAACTCATCTATTCTTTGTGAATGACCATCCTGTGCTTGGATGATAATGTGTCTTTGAGACGCAAAATCAATATCACCAACTATTAGGCCTGTTGTACACACACACACACACACACACACACACACACACACACACACACACACACACACACACACACACACACACACACACACACACACACACACACACACACACACACACACACACACACACACACACATATATATATATATATATATATATATATATATATATATATATATATATATATATATATATATATATATATATATATATATATATATTCTAGTACTAATTGATCAATTATTAATGTTACCAAAACGTCCTCTCTTGTACTTATTGAAAATGGACACTCTCTTTTAATAAGGATTGATATCTTTAGAGTCCACTGATTTTATATATATATATATATATATATATATATATATATATATATATATATATATATATATATATATATATATATATATATATATATATATATATATATATATAATATGTAGTGAGCAGTGAGTAAATACAATTACCTGAAACAATTTATTATGTTTTTAATTTTATTGTCGGTGTCAAAAATATATAATTGAGCATATTGCAAAGGATACTCAATTTTCGGTAGCAAAGTACCTATTCGATGACAAATTTGACTACATGGTCTTTAAGTAGGTGGGCCTCCTCCTTTAGAATGGCTGGTGTCAAATTTCATTCCAGGGGATATAAAAGAAAAGAGAAAAGATAGAGTGACACTACTTTTTAACATCCACACCGTATAGTATCCTAAAATGTATCATTTTTATTGTTTTTCATACTGTGCCCTACTTTGATTTCCGTGCAACATGAATTTGCTTCACCATTATGGAGGTGTAGAATACGGTGTAAAATAAATCGGTGTCAAAATAGAAAACCTCAAAAGAAAACACGGTGTTGTAAGTTCTAATGTTGCTTTGGTAGTTCTTACTCTCTAAATAAGTTTCATTATAAAGTAGACACTGCCACAAAAGTGATGGCTCTTCAAGGAAGGGGAGTACAATTTTTCTACCCATGCAGCAACCCTGGAACTTATGAACAATGGTATGCCGAAATTTTCCTTTTCGTTCTTAATACGACATACAGATTTGACAAAATGGACATTCTCATACAGGATCCTCTATATCAGAATACTCTGCATTCGCACATACATAAAGAATCAAATTTAACCTGTCATTGTAAGTATTTATAATTTAAAGAAGGTAACTTACGTTGAAGATGTGAAGCAAGCAACAGTTCATTGACAACACCGTCATCTACATCAGAACTAATAGCCAAACTTTGATAATCTTCGAAATTGGATATATGATGCGGTAATGATATTAGGAGTTGCATTGTTAATGTTACTTGCAGAAGTTGAATGAGCTTTATTATTCCTTGTAGTTTGAGGTTAAATAGTCTCATTGAAGCATCTGAGTAAGTTAGTTAATTATAGATGGTCCATCCGATATATATTTTTTAATGACTTGACAATCTCAATTGATGCCTTTGCGACAGGGCAATGTTTGTCATGTTAGAAACATCAGCCGAAAGTGGTCTACACCTACTAGAAATCGTTGTTGGATTGGGGATTAAAAGATCGTGTTAGGTACTGGTAATATTTTCCTTATTAGAATCGTTACATGAGTTTTTCCTCTGATTTTAGATTGTAAGAGAATTTTCAAAATAATATTAAATAGAATGATTGTATTATTTGAATTAATAATATAAATATTATATTTGGACTTTTTATCTCTAATTTAAATGCTACGTGCTGAATATTGTTGATATAGTATGTCATGTCATTGGTTAGCATTTAATTAAGAACAATGGCAACTTATAAGCAATATATTGCTAGTTTTTAGCAAAGCATTGCTGCTCGGTGTAACCCAAAATGGTGCAATATAATATTTTAAGAGATACATCTGTTCCCAAACATAATATAGCATCATTATAAATTGAATGTTTCTTGACACGATGAAACACACAAAAAACACAATCTGTCTCTGTTGCACCCCAAATTTTACCCTCATATTTTTTGCATTGCCTGTATAGCATATCATGTCTGTCATTTTTCATAATACCCAATTTATCAGCTGAAATAAACTTGTCAGAATTACAGCTGAATCGGTCAAACTAAAAGTCAACTGTGTGAAAAATCAGCGGACGAAATATTTTAAAGTCGAGCCTACAAACGTCAGTCATATTAATCTATGTTTTTCGTAGTTTAACCTGACGTACTCATTTAAATTTTTCGACCAATTTTCGGTCGCATTTTGGACAGTTAAAGTCATTTTATCGAGTAAAATTTATTTCAAAATTTGATCAAATGCTATATTTTTCCGATTCATATATTTTGCGCTGATCATTTTAGTGTACTCAATTTATTTTTTTGAGCACTTGGGCGTCCGACTTTTATTTATTTGAGTTCCGGTTATTTTTACTTTTGTTGTCTAAATAGTTAGAATAAATAAATAAATAGAATTATTAATTTTAATTTTATTTTAATTTTATTTTAATTTTATCTTAATTATTTAAATTCTGTAATTATAAATAATATTAATTTAAGTTGGGCTTTAAAATGGGCATTAGGTTAGAGTTAACCCTAATTTGATACCTATATAAACATAAGTTGTGTTTGAGAAAAAAGAAAAGGAGACAAAAGAAAAAAAAACGGCGGTCGTTCTCACGACTTATCAGAAGAGGGGAGATTTTAAAAAAAACCTTCAAAGTTTCATTGTAACACCCGTTTTAATTATTTAGTCGTTTGCTATTATTTTGTGTTGAGTGCCCTTGTGTGGGAGTGTGTCCGGGTGCATTAGAGAGTGCCTTTAGACTGTGGGGATGGTTTAGTAAATTAAGTGCATAATAATACTACAATATTATTAATAATGATAATAATCTAATAATTAGTATTAATATTATTATTTTATTATTGATATTATTATTATTATTATTATTATGAGAATTATTATTATTATTATTATTTGGTTAAAAATAAAATAAGTGGGATTAAGAGATAATAGGGTTATTAGTAAAAAGAAAGAAAGAACACGATAGAACGGTTGAGAGCAGAGAAAAGAGGAAGGACCAAGGGAGATCAAGAACAAGGGTTTACGCTGTCAGATTTCGCAGGATTTCTTCAGCAGATCGTTCATAATCAAGGTAAGGGGGGAGGAACGGGTTTTAATCGATTGTATGCATGAACTGGGTAGTGGGGAGTCCTTAACCCCGTAGGATTTTGGATGATTATGATATGTTGTCATGATAATTGTTGTTGCTGTATTGATAATGAAATCGTATTCATACTGATATGAATCTGGTGATTTTCTGTGTGAATTGTGGTGATGTTGTTGATGAATATGAGGTTAGGTTTTAGAGAGAAACTGATAGGGTTACGAGTAGAATAAGTTCGAATCGTAATAACAACGTTAGAATGTGAAATAGATGCATATTACAGGTCTAGGACCCATAATAGAAACATATTTGGTCAATTAGAAGTGTAGAAAGTAAGAGATTCGTAGCAGGAGTTGAAGATGGGAGAGTTCTGTTGATTTGCGTAACAGATCTGGTCATACGCGTATGGGACTAATTCATACGCGTATGGAGGAGGGCAATTTGAAGGCAATACGCGTATGGCACTAGGCAATACGCGTATGGCAAGGCAGTACACGTATGGGTAGGCAATACGCGTATGGCCCTGGACGTGGGCAAAAGTGATACGCGTATGGCACAAGGCAATACGCGTATGGGCAGACAGGGATGCCAAAAATGAGGATTTTACTACTTTGGTGCTGTGCTCTTGCGCTGCGAGACCTGAGTGGTTCAGTTAGGTATTGGAATGATTTTTGAGGATGAATAGAGTGTATTAGAGGTTAAGGAAGATAATTATCTAGTATTGAACTTGGTTGATATAAATGATCAGTGAGAGGGAAGAGCGTGACGCAGTGTGATGCGTGTTGTGCTTGAATATTGTATGTTGTGATGTGATCAGTAGGATCGTGGGCACTTAGTGTGCTTGATGTTGATTGTTGTGTACATGTATAATATGTTGTGATGTGATCAGTAGGATCGTGTGCACTTAGTATGTTGAACTGTAGAGTATGCATTTGGTGTCTTGCATATCATGGTGTATTGGTGGGATGGATCATGTCTCGGATGGAGCGTAAGTGATCCGTCCGTACTCCTTTGTGGAGAATGGTGGGGTTGAATCATGTCTCGGATGGAGCGTAAGTGATTTACCCGTACTCCTGTGTGGAGAATGGTGGGTTCGATTGAATGAACCGAGAGTCGGTACCGCATGCATGGTGTTGTGTCGCATTTGTGCATTTGACTACGTTGTTTTAATAATTGGACAGTAGGTCATGTTGGGTGTTGAGTGGGTGATGATTAATGTTGTAGATGCTATCCTTATTTCATGTATATGCTTGTGATGATTATGATCATGTTTTCTCACCCCTTTGTTGTTATTGTGGTCTGTGCTTCCTTGGAAGTACAGACAATTCAGGTACTTAGCTAACTGGATATTGGTGTGCAGTCGAGTCTAGGATGCTCTGATACGTAGCACGGGACTTGGGCG